TTTTGAGACAGGAGTTTTAGAATGTTAAAATAAAAGTTAACACAAATTTTAGGAGCTTATTATCTTGAATTCCGAAGTGAAACCACTAATATAATATGACTGAACCATTCACGGAAGGAAAACATAAATATATTATGTGTTTACTACCATACATTGCTCCAGTTTGTCAGGAACATTTGAAGAATCGTAAAAACAACAAAATCATAGAAATTGATTTCCTTTTAAAATAATTAACCAATGTTCATGAATTATTTCAGGAAAGTTATTGTTCCAAATAAAATTCGTAGTTCTCCATTCCTTTAAGTCATTTATAGGATATTCAGTTAGTCAATTCTAACTTTAAAAACAACATTTTTGTCTAAAACTAATGCACTAACTCAAGACTCATTCAAATAAATTCTAAATAAAAACATTTTTAATTTATTTAACTGAAATTTATTAAATATCTCGAAGCCAGAAATATATGACTTAGACCACTTTCAGAATTATGGACACTTAATGGCAACAACACAAACAACATTGGTGACGTACGGGAAACCTTTCCAAAACATAACGTAAAAACCTGGAAATAAAACCGGGACAAATACAACAACTCCCACAAGACGCACGAAACGTAAGAATAAAAATCATTAAAGAAACAAGCATCATGTAGGCTTGACGTGTGCTGAATTTCAAGGTTGTACCATGGAATAACTTGGCAAGAATAACCGGCCGGCGGCCATTGCATCGGCATTTTTTACGAGATAGAGGACCCCACATGCACCCCTTTTTGAATAATGTGGCACAGAGTTGTTCTTTTGTGCTTCAAGCAATTAGCAAAGAAATTCGAGTTCTTTGACCTGCTATTTTTATAAGTTTTGCTAACTGCTTAATAAATTAAACAATTTTCAAACTATGTAATTATTGTGAAAAATGTTTCTAAAAGTTTTAATGTCTGCCCTTTATCATAGACATTATATAAAACTAAAATTGTACCTATACTTAGTTAATCTATGAATTATACTATACAGGGTGTCCCTCAAGCTCATGATCGAAAAGGTACTGCGATATTTTTTGGACCAAAAAAAGACGATCTGACCTAACTTTTATTAACAACAAATGTCTGGCTCCTCTGATATTAATGGTCAAAGTTCTTCAAAAAAATTTTCTTTTTCGAAATATCGGGAGAATGGTACGATGTATTTTGGTGAAACTCGCTGTAAATTTGTTCTTATGTAAGACTCATATTTTGATGAAACAATCGAATTTAGCCGTTTTGGACAAATGGTGAATTCTTGAGTGTCGTGGTATAGAAACTACCAGAACTTTTTAGTTGGAGAATTAAATCAACTCATTTTTTCTAGGTTGATGCACTAATCATTTATTTACAATTTTCTGCTCTTTGTAAAATCTTGTAGTATTCATAGTTTTTACGTAAAAAAATATGTCTGTTTTCTAGTCACTTAGCAATCTAGACATTTACTGCAAATATGCGCCACGTAAACGCGTACGCTTTCACGCAAATTATCTTCGCAAAACCCTAATACTTTGACCATTTCGGTCACTTCTTCATTAGAAAAGGTCATTAAAACGAATTTGTGAGATTGACTGACAATTATTTTATGCCTCGTATCACGATATTTGCAGTTAATGTCTAACATTGTTAAGTGGCAAGGAAACAAAAATATTTTTTGTATCATCGAAAATTTGCCCACCGAAAATACCAGTTATCGCTTGTATTTAAAATCGCATAAGAAACGAAAGGAACCATTAAAAATAAGTTTCCTTTTATTTTATTTGTTGCTAGTTTTGTATAGTTTAAATGTCTTTAAACTGTGTTTGCAAATATAATTTAATAATACAGTTGGTACGGTGTAAATTCACGTCTGTGCAGAATGTTTATTGTGCATTTGAAGCATTTGTGTTTCGCGTTTTACCTTCGTTGGCTGAGTCGCTCAAGATTGATGATAAAAAGCAGGAAAAGTCCTATTTCAACTCTCTTTTCTCCAAAATAACGCTATTTATTGATCCCTGTGATCCAAGTCATCCAGATTCAACCTGAATCACCCTGTATATACTTATATAATTTTTTTTTTGGTTCTATTAACCGCAGTACTTGTACGACTATCCGAAAATAGCCATAATATATCCGAAAATAGCCCCCAAACACTGGCAAAATCTCAAAATAAATTAACACAATACTTCCAAATGCAAATAACCCCGCCCACATTGCTTACAGTGCGCTAAACGTTCTTCGAGTGGAATATACACTTTGTATAGTGTCAGTTTAACTTATTAGCAGTTAAATTATTTTATTATTTGTTTCGTATTAATAATTTTACTTAATATTTATTCTCTTGAACCTTACCTGCCGATTTGACCACACATACACGCACAACCGCACGAAGACAATGAAAAGCTGAAGCGCTCGATTGTTAACTAATAGTTATATGCCACCTGCTGATGGTACCGATAGAGTACGAATGGACCAACATGGGTTGAAATTTTCCTGCCAATGGATAAATTATGTAAATTTTGGATATGTTTGTAACGGTACCTACAAGGTGGTTCCGAAATAGAACTGCCGAACGTGTAAATGAAAGAATCGGATTTAGAAGCGAGTAGGCATTTTACAGGGTCGATTTGTAACTAATTATATCTATGGCAGATCTTTGGCGCCCTGTGTACATGACGAGGCATTTACTATCGATGCAACGAAGTTAATCATTATTTGGCTGAAAGAGCTTTCACTTTCGGCATAATTTTCATATGAGTTTTGTAATTGGGTGCATTTTGCTACGTTACTCAGCATGCAATTAAGGAAACGTAAACGCATTTGTTGTCAATTGATCGAAAGGTATGGAAAACCCAAGTTTCTGTGAAGCTTGTTTAATGTAAATAATTAACACCGTTTGCACGTTTCCCCTTTTCTTGACTATAAGATGGACACTGTTTACCAGAGTTTCTTATAGAAAATGTGTTTCTGGTCTCCATATTGACTACAATGTTGATAAAATGAAGATATGAAGATTTTTAGAAAATTGGGCGTCATAAAGAAATATGGTATGATCGCCTATTTTGAGCAGCAAGGCATACAATATCTGCCTGTCTTTTCCACTTATGTAAAAGAGAGTATTTCCCGTCGCAGGGAGAAAAAGGGTGTTTTGTTTTAATGGCATTTACTAAGGTGAATTTTGAAACAAAAAATAAGACTGATATTTGGAGGTAGGTGTAGAGTGTGTGAAATTTGAACATTCCATATCTGTGGCGGTTCTGAGCGGTTTCAACTTGGTTTGTGACTAGCCCGAATCATTTTCACAATTGTTGATATTTTCTATCTATTACTTTTAACTGGAAGTTCTATACTTCTAAAGACACATTAAGAAAATATTAACGTTTATGTCCTTTATGAAAACTTGAACTCTCAGTAATGAGTGAAATAAGGTAATTTTCCTTAGAACACTTTGAGTGGGTGTTAGTTTTATCAGAGTATCCTAGTGAGAAAGTCTTCATAGTTCCTTTATTTTAAAATTCGCATGCTGTTTTATTAGTAATATCTTAGTGCGCTGGTGATCTGGCGAACATTTCTATTTTATATCTCAGTATATTGTTAATATAGACTTATAGACATGAGATAGTAGTGAGATAAGATTACAGTTATTTAAATATTTCCAAGTACGTTGTTTCTAGATTTTCAATCCGGTATTTTTAAATTTATCAGCACGGTAGATACTCATTAAGCCGTTTACTTATTTTTGTTTATTTGACACTTCCGTCGGTATTCGATACAAAATTGGAGCTTTAATAATTTTCATTTCCTTTAAATAATTTAAATATCGTCAGATGATCTTATGTGGCATGTCTTCTAGCCATATCAAAGAAACTGGGATTTTGTGTCTTTTATTCGAAACTGGCAATTCTATCGGTTTCTTAGGTCGTCGTTCTTAGGCATTGGGTCCTCACGTTTCGAAAGAACGATTATTTTGTATAGTTTGCAGGAATTTGTTTGAATCTTGTACTTGTTCATGCAGGCCAAATTTTCACAGTTATTTCCTAACAAACCAGACTAGCTATAGACAGTGACTTTTACATGAATTCTGTTCGGGGGTAATACCACAAGACCTTTGAAATAACCGAGAATTTCTCACGATTGCATGTTTTCCATAATTTAACACGTCTGAAGATCGAGTGAAATTTGCAAGGAAAACGTGCTACAATAAAAAATTGTCTGGTTAATTTTAATGCTTCAGTGGTATTAAGTGAGATTATTTCTCAAATTAAATAATATTATATACCTAGGTACAGTACTTTGTACAAGGTATTGACAGAAAGATGCGTTAGGACATTTCTAGGGGTGATTCTACATGCTAAAATAAGAGTTGTAAGTCATGTAGGAAATATTTTAAATCGGAATGTTTTCCCAGATACGGTTTATCAAACTTATTTTTTTTTATTTTGACCCATTATAGACATTTCTGCGCAAACCAAACTGCAAAGTAGTACAAGGTTTTAGCTGAGTGATCTCTCACTTTCTGCAACAAATGGTTGCACGTTGCTACGCTTCCACATAACTTTTTCGGCACGCCAAATATCGCAAAGAGCAATGTGCGATTTTAAAGGCTAGAAAATACTAACAAAAAAATGTGCTCTTCACACGACTCGAAAAACATCTTTGTTTAGGACCAAATCGAGATTTTTTATCGCACAACAACCCACTATTGCCCACTATTAATGCTAGATAACATTGAAATCAAAACATACAGCAACGATTTTAAAACAGAATAGAAGAAACAGGGGCACTGAACATAATATGTTTAATCCCATTAACTTTACCCTCTACGTTTAATTTGGTTTCAAATATTCACTAAAAGAAAATAATTCTAAAATGTGCCGATGCGGATCCGACATTCTATTTATATTTTTGCAATTGCAGAGATGAGTCATATTCCGATACCTTTCTATAGATGATAATGATGGATGAAGTGTAGATGAGATGTATATCCAAAGCAATTCAATTCGAATGTATGTAAGGCTACATAACACTGGAGACATACATATAGATCGGTTTTATAACGTCCGCCGTCCTCCGATGCCCAATCTTCACTAGTTTCTGTTCGCCCAAATATTGTCATCCAGACCCCCAATTCTCATTTTGCTGCCTATTCCTTGTCTCCAGCTCCTACGTGGTCTTCCTCGCTTTCTTGGTCCATTTGTATTCAATTTTAGTATTCGTTTAGTTAGCGTTTCGTTCTCCATTCTCTGCACATGCCGGTACCATGCCAGTTGTTTTGTTCTTATCTAGTGCACTATCGTGCTTTCACCTCCTGTCAGAGTTTCTCTTATTCGCGGATTTGTAACTCGTTCTCTCCTTCATTTTCCTGCTGCTCTTCTTCAATACTCCATTTCTGTTGCAAACAGCATTTTCTCTGTTCTATCTTTGATTGGCTAGACTTTGTAACGCGACGAATTTTGGACAGAACCAAAATAAAAAAATCAACCTTTAATGAAAACTATTTAATTAATGCAATGATTTAAATGACAATGATTTATGAACAGTAATTGTTAACAACAATTTAATAGAGAGAGATATATAAAAAAGGCTTCCCTTGAGCGAGTATTTCGGGCGGTCGTGTGCAAAGCCCGAAGGGTGAGTTCGTTTGAGCGCCACTAGCTTTCGCAGCAAAGCTAGAACATTCAGCGGTGGAATGCTGCCGAAATACCTACTCAATTCTTTTACCGTGATAGTACTGACTTGAATGATGATATAAAAAAGGAAAATGGTGAGTTTAATAACGAACAATAAAACGTGGTTTGACGACCACAAACTACCGTCTTCTAACCGTTTGATCTATACTCTATCTTAATTAAGTAGCGGGCAAGATCTACCACACAGCAGAATTCCTATCACTAGATCCTGTTTTATTACATCAATGCACGTATACTCTGCCTTTTATATATGTACGTCCAAACCGATCTTTTTGTATTGTTCTATGAGTTTTCGAGTCATCTATTCTACGTCAACATATTCCTGGGCCACTACAATTTGATTGTCGGCGAAACATAAGGTGTATAAAAAACGGTTTCATTTAATGGAATTTAATGGAATTCCCATGTTTTGACATTTTCTTTTCCATACTTTACGGACATTGCACATCTAGTCATCGGTAAAAACCTTAAAATGAACAGCTTGAATATTGAGCAAGTTTAGACCTATAATTACCTAGGGCGCAAAATTCGATCGCAGAGAGACAACCAAACTTGTGGAATCGGCAGAAGAATAAGTCTCACATGGGCAGCATTTGGAACACTGAGCTGCATTTTATGATCTAATATTACCATACGTCAAAAGAGACAGACAGAAAAAAATGTATTAAATATTTACATTGGTATAGGCATAAACAAAGCAACAACATATTGACAGGTGTTCAACCGGTTGCTTCATTTGCCCATGATCTAGATAGGCGCACTAAGTGGTCCATTACCTGGGCGGTCCCCTAACACCGACATTCCCGAGCCCGCCATAGACCCGACAACGTCAGGAGATAATCTTGAAGTGGCGGTTTTGGTGTTATTCGTGGGATATTCAATAAGGTAAAAAGGTCTTCATGAAACGAAACCAAAAACCTCGTTTGCTTCGGCCTTTAATGTTGATAATGTTAGCCGGGGCGTAAACCGCTTCTTCTTATTCATGTACTATCTCCTCCTAAAATTTTGGTCACCAACATAGCTATGTGAACTCTGCTCACCGCCATCCTGAAGAGTGTGCTTGAGGTACGCCACACCAATGCGTACATTCTTCGGCCATGATGTTTTGTGCCTACCTGGACCACGCTGGGCAGCACCATTACCCTGCATGAAGTTTTGCAATCGTCAGTATTTCGCACCCTGGGATTACATGACCGAAGTATTCCAATTTTCTCTGCTTGATGGTGCATAGTGCATGGTACAGTGCTTCACATTGTAACGCGTTGGCAGTCTTAATCAATAGATCGCCTAGGCCACGCCCCGCTCTTTCCTTCGTACAAAGACGAGCCAGAACCCACTAGAGCAAGGGAGCACGAATCCAACCAGTCATAGAGAGTTCGTACTCCGAATAGTAAACATCGTGCTACGCATTGCGCTCTGCAGAAACACAGTGTATTTCGAAGTTAAAACTATCTACAAGA